CTTCCCAGCCTCAGTAAGTGGAGGTCCTGGGAAAGAGGCCTGGGAATTTGCAGAGTTTAGTTGAGGGTAAAATAAGTGTTTTTTAGTGATTGAAAATGCAGGGCTTGGGAGGTGGAGAGAAACGGACATGGATCCCAGACTCAATACACACCAGCTGGGAGACCTTGAAAAAGTTATTTAACAGTTATTTGCTTATCCATAAAATGGGGTTAGCATCTACTTCTTAAGTCTCTTGTGGGAAATGGATTAAATAAGAGAACGTATATGAAGTGTTTAGCACAGTATCAGCCATGCAGTGTTCAATGAACAGTGGCTTTAATGAGGATCCCCGAGGGGGCTAGGACAAATTTATCCCAGATCACTCCTCGCCCGCAGTTCCCTCGGCTGAGTTCAGAGGCTTTCTTGTTGGAGTTGGGGCCTGCTAACACAATTGCAGGGCCTTGCATGTGAGCAGCATTTTACTGTAAAATAAACATTGGAGCAATTACAATGGCAACCCAATTGGCCCACATGCTCTCTGCTTGTTAAACTTGTGAGAGGGGAAACTAAAATGTAGAAATTCAATTCAGTTCTTTGAAGAAGCATGTTTGCTACCAACCACAATGACCACCACGCACACGATGGATCTCACTGTACTAGTAAGATAGTAAATTATTTCTAAACAGGCACTTGGAAGGGACCAGAATGGCAACATTATAACGCTCAGAGTATATTAACAAGGGGGTAACCTGGTTCTCATTAAATCTAGAAATAGGAGAACCAAGCACAGAGCAATAGGGGACCTTCCCCAGCAAGGACCTGGAGAAAACAGAACAAAGACTGAATTAAAGAGTGAGAGGTGGGGGGTGTGGCATTGGAACTGGACTCTTGGGAGGCTAGTGAGGAGTACCAGCCGCACTGTACTCTCGTGAGACACTGCTCTCCCACCAAGCACCGGCGGCCTCCCCTGGGCAGGCGCGGCTCTGTGCCGCAGTAAACAAGCCACACAACGAGCGAGGCCTGGCTTCCTGGCATATTGCCTGCACACACTGATGAGGAATTTAAGTCAGTGCACTTGGAAACAACGCCTAGGCACTGAAATGAAAGCCGCAGGGCGGCAGGAAACCTGGGGTGTTTGGTTTCCCAGCATATTCCCCTACCACCTTGGAGGGAGCTCCTCACCCTATAGATACTCAATAAAATGCATGTAGACAGAATAAGTGGACCAATCAATACATTATGAAACTGTCAAAAACCCTTCACGATTACTCAAGGCAAGTCCATACTTGAGACAGGCAGACTGGGCTACCACTCAGAATCCTCGAAGTTTGCCTTTACCTTCCTTTGCCTGTCACAGACCGCATTAGCCTCTCACCCCTCTAGTAAGATTAGACAGTGCTTACTATGTTTCTGGCACTGTTCTCAATGCTTACCATTAAAATGTTATGAGATCAGTATTATTAATATTATTCCCATTTTACAGATGAGAAAGTTGAGGCAGACACCCTGCCCTTGTTCCCACAGCTAGTCCATAACAACCATGATCTGAATGCAGCCAGTGTGGCTGCATGCAAAATTGTATTTTTAACTGCTATGATATTATATGGCTTCACTTTAAGGAAGAATAGGAGAAGTTCCAAGCTTGAGATTAGGCTTCATTTTACCAGCTGATTAACAATTACTAGTTAATAAAAACTGATAATTTCATCTTTTACCATCCTTAGAGGTGCTAGTACTATCCCCACTTTATGGATGAGTCACAAGATCAGAGAGGGTAAGTGGATTGTCTAAGATCACACAGCTCAGTAAGCAGCTGTGCTGAGACTTGAACAACAATTTTCTGTCCCCAGGGCCCTGGTTATTAATCACTATTATCACCTAGATATTGTGCTTAGATAAAAATAAAATCACCTAAATTTTAAAAAAGTGCTGGGCTTTTATTCCATCCTCTCCCCATGCCTTTGTGAACATTAGAAAGAGGAGGCCTTCTGTAGACACGCCCGTACTGCAGTGCAGCTCTCAGTCAGCCACGGGCTAGGTCAGGCCTTTCTCATTCCTCAGCCATCCCCTTGTGCAGTGGAATCTCTGCACAGGCACACGTGACAGCCACACATTCAGCAATGCGAAGGACAGAGGGAAGGGCCCCGTCATGATTCAGAAATTCTCCTTACAGAAGTCTTTTACTGGCACCTTGGCAACATCCAAGCCAAGGACTTTCTCATCACTCCCTACCAATCCTTGAGTGTTGGCGTTGGCGTTCTTTTCCCTGCCCTGTGACTGCCCCATGGGGACTTCCTCACGTCTGTGGAGACCAAGGTCATGGCCCCCTAAGGAGATGTCCACACTGAGGCGGGTTCTGGCCTATGGTGCCCAGAAGCCTCTCTCTGAGTGTGGAAGGACTCCCAAAAGGGGGACTTGCATTTTTAAAACACTTGGATCCCACAACATCAGACAGTCATGGATGCATCCAAACTCTTGTTCAGCTCTTCCAACAGCTCCGGTGGTTTCACCCCCAAATGGCATCTTTCAGCCTCTCATTCACCAGTTCTCATCCTTGGCAATGAGCCTTTCCCACTTCCTCTGGTTCACACTCGGCCTAGTTCAGGCTGCAGAACACTCCCAACAAGATCTTCATTGTTTACCTTGTACCCCTTTAACCCACAGGGAGTTCTTGAGATCCAGTTTCATCTAGGAATTTATCTCTGATACTTAAAAGAGGGCCCACCCATGCTATGATGTTTGGTTCCTGTCAGGATAGAAGGAAAACCACAAGTCTGTAGTAGATGTCAACCTTCTCATGGTTGAAGGCTGGAAACTGACATTAAAAACTTGTGGAACTTAACTAAAGCATTAAAAAAAAACTAATAAGGAAAAAAACTATTAAGAGCAGCTATGACTTATTGCTATGAGCTTGGCTATACATTTACAAAATAATTTTATTTTATCTTCTACAGTCCTTAGAGGTGACAGTACTATCCTCTGTGGATGAGAATGAGAAGATCGGAAGGGGGAAGTGGGTTGCCTGAGATCACACAGCTCAGTCAATAGACTGAGAAACGTACAAAAGCTGGCTACCTCAGAGCTCTTAATCGTCATCCCTATGCTACAAAATTGTAACCTTTATTGTCTCCTTCGTTCATTGTGTCTGCCAATTAATGGATATTCCTGTGATAGGCATGGGGAGAGAAGAGGGCATCTCCCCTGCCTGCTGCTGGCTGGTCCTGCAACAGCTGGACACCAGAACTGCCAGGTCACCTCTGGTACGCTCAAGGCCAGTGAACTGGGAATCCTGAGGACACCAATATTTAGTTGCTATAACAACCAGATTTCCCTGAGGTGTACACTAGGACACACTGACCACCCTTTGGAGGTCTGTGACAGATGAACCCCTGCGGACACTGGCAGCATCTGCCCTTTGGCAAAGCCTTTGAAAGGGAGATCTGGGAGGTACCCTGCTCCTCCCTGGACCCGGGACCCTTGAGCACATAGCTGGGCATGAGGTCTGCTGGAGAATGGGGCTCCACAAACTCCCTTCACGCCACCATATTTGTCCAGCACTTTAATGCCTCCAACGCCTTCACACTAACTTCTCACTGAAACTCACAGCAATCCAGTTGAATAGGTAGCTACATGTTATTTGTACTTTATGGCTGGGACCTTGAGGACCAGCGCTTACACAATCTCCTCAAGGTCAACAGCTCATGGTGACAGAGCAGGCTAGATGCAGGATACCTGCTTCCCCAGTCAGAACACTGGGCTTCCCAATGCAATGCCTCGGCACCCCATGTCTGCAGAGAAGGGAGAATACAGATTTTCTGTCGATGGGAGATTGAGATGCTCTATCTGTTGTTTTGGACAAGAAAACCAGAGATGCCAAATATGGTGCTAGTAACTGGCCACCACCTCCTGAACCCCAACCCAGGAAATGTGCGTGATGGGCAATGGAGACCAAACGCAAATGTTGGCTGGGCCTCATTTCCACTGCGCCTGCTTTCTGCTCAGCGCTGTGTCCATGGAGGGCTGTTCCTGAAAAATGCCGGGAATTCTATCTCATTGCTCAGAGAATGAGCTTCCTACTCTCAGAGGCTTGGGTCCATAACAGGCTATGAGCACAGACTGTTCTGGGGTGTGGTGGAGAAGGGGTGGCATTGACCTCCAGCCTGTATGCGATGCACCCCAATATCTGGGTGCAACCACGTTGGTCTCTGTGTCCTGAATGGGTATCAACTTCTGAATGGGTATCCTTTCACCAATAGCTTTTTATTCTCTCTATAAAAGTAATTTAAGTACATTATAGAAAAAACAGAAAACTGAAAGGGAAAATCAGTCACACCCAAAGGCAGTCATCAGCACTTCAATTTTTCTTGTATCACGCGGCTTCGAAAATGCACACCTGCCATGGTCCGTACCGGTACAAATACTTGATCTGTAATGAGGGTGCCTTATGTGTTTGTGTGTCTGTATCCCTTCGATGTCTTGAATCTCTCCCATATAAGTAAAACTTCTTCAAAAATATTTAAAATGGTTATATACAAATTCCTTGCAAAATTGTGCCTAATTTAACTACCCTATTGTTAAATATTTAGCACTTGATTCCCTGCAGGGATCATGCCAGGCTATAACATCAGTGTATAAAGGCCTAACTAAATTTCTCCCGATTTCCTTAGGATGGATTCCTAGGAGCTAAATGATCAGGTCCAGGTTGTTATTGCACCTTTTACTGCTCGAGAAAGCCAAAGCTGCACTAAGAGTTTTGACCTCCTCTGAGGTCCCCCCATGAACCCTCTTCTTGCTTTCCAGTGCCCCAAATCTCACACAGGACTGGGGGCTCCATTGATGTAAGATAGGGGCTCCCACTGTTGCCCTGTTGGGGTGCAACACTACTCAGATGCCACAGAAACACACTTAAAGTCACACAGCCCTGGCCTGGTGAGGCCCAGGAATAATGAACTCAGTGGGAAGCAAACGATCATTGACAACCACTGCTCTTCATGCAGGATGGGCACTTGAGGGGTACTCACCTGATAAGTAGCAATCGCTTCTCTGTCCAAGGTCCGTGTCACGGAGACACTGCCCGTGTTCTCATTGATTCTGAAAATCCCTTTAGGCTCTTGATCCACTCCCTTTCCAGTGAGCCGGAACTTGGACCCTTCCGGTCTGTCACTATCGACTACCTGGTCAGGGAGACAGAGTGACATTTAAGACTCTGGCGCAGAGAGAGCACATTACAAACACACCTCAGCGACCCAGCCACTAATCACAGGTGCAACACAGAGGTGCCTGGTGAACAACGGAGTAAAGCAGCATCACCAAAAATAGCATCACTGCTTAACACTTCCCATCCTGACATGCAAATCTTTGTGGTGACACAGAGTGATGGATCTAGGAGGGAAATAACTCCAGCAAGTTCAAGGCTGGACATTTATATTATTTTTAACTCCCAAGAAACATTTCTTTTTTCATTCCTGCAAGCAAGACCAAATAGGTGATGGGAAAAACAACGACAAGAGATGACATTTGTTCGACAACACTGTCCTGGGCAGGCAAAGATCGAGGTGCTAGGTATTTACCTATGTCTTTACCTGCCCCATTGGTTCTACCAGATACTAGGCATAGTGCTGAGTAAGCATTTTACACACATTTTAAAAAACCTCACAACGATGCTGGGGTCAGGGACATTATTATTCGCACTTAATGGATGGAACCATGGAGACACAGAAATTAAGTAAGCTGGCCATGGTTATGGCTATCCTATCTAATAAAAGAGTATTATGCAAATTGACCATCACTCCAACACACAAGATTGCCAGCAGGGGAGGGCAGTTGTGGGAGATCAGGCCAGCATAAGCGGGCAGTTGGGAGGGACCAGGCCTGCAAGGGAGGGCAGTTTGGGGGGACCAGGCCTGCAGGGGAGGGCAGTTGGGGGGAACCAGGACTGCAGGGGAGGGCAGTTAGGGGCAACCAGGCCAGCAGGGGAGCAGTTTGGCATCGATCAGGCTGGCAGGGGAGTGGTTAGGGGGTGATCAGGCTGGCAGGCAGAAGCTGTTAGGGGCAATCAGGCAGGCAGGTGAGTGGTTGGGAGTCAGCAGTCCTAAACTGGCAGTCACACATCCCTCGAGGTGTTCCAGATTGGAGAGGGTGCAGGCTGGGCTGAGGGACACACCCTCCTACCCCATGCACGAATTTCATGCACTAGGCCTCTAGTTAGAGATAAAGGTGGGATTCAGAACCCGGTCTCCATGTCTCTAGAAACATTGCTATGAAACACTGTCATCTCTGAACTTATTTTAAGATAATTCCCTACAGGTTGTTAGCTTGGCTTTGACATTGAAGAATAAATTCAGAAGATAAAGATGGACGAAGGTATTTTCAGGCAGAGAGAACAGGACAGATAGAGCAGCAGGCAGGTGAGAGAGAGGCTAGAAAATCTCAGAAACGATGTCACTACATAGTGTGGTTTGAGTAGAGGTGAGGTTGAGAGGTAATTAGGAACCAAATTATATTTTGTTTTCTTTATGGCATTTGAAGGTGCCCAACTAAAGAGAAATTATTATTTGCAAAAATCAGTTCTAGAGTTTTCCCAAGTATTCATCTGTTTCATGTCACTTTGTCATCAATATCTGCAAGTATAACAATACTTTAAGTCAGGAGAACAATAGACATTTGGAACACACATATACAAGCTTGATACTGATCCAGGTGCAATCAATTTACAAATGAACGGGCACCTACTGGAACTTAATCAACTGTGCCTGGAGGGTTTGGGTGAAATCTGCCTGAAATGTGCCTTATATGGAATTAGCCTCCCTCCCACCAGGCCAGTTCGGTGGCCACCAAGCCTGCAATTCCACTGGGTGGCACGAGGTGGCAGTGGTGCCTAAGGCAGTGTGACCCGCATGGCAAAGTTCCTTTGCCATGATAGTTGAGTAAGAGCATGACCCAGTTCTATCTATATGGCAATGGAGTGTTTTCCTGATTTAAAGTATTCTTTATTAAAATACACTGGGAGGTTTGATCTAACACCAATGACCTCTGTTTGCATTTTAAGATAACAGAAAATATCCGTACCAAGATTAAAAGTAAAGTATGATGGAAATAATTCTGATGAAAAGAATTATATTAGTCATTGCTTGGCTTGATTTAATCCAGCTGACATTCTCCCCCCAACCCACTCCCTGCTGCTTAGACGCTCCATGGGGTCAACAGTCACAGCATATTGGGCTCACCACTGGATCTCAGGGCCTGGCTCAGTGCCTGGACTATAGCAGGAACCAAGGCCAACATCTGTTTAATGAAGAACACCACTGTTCAGACAAACATATGTCCCAGTCCTAGCTCAGCCAATGAGCCACCGTGTGCCCTTGGACATCGTACTTTGTCTTCTGATTTCCTCATCTTATTCCCCGGGTTGATGGGGATTTAATGAGATAGTGTGTGCAAAGTACAGACCTAAGCACGTGGAAGGGGCTCTATAAATAGTAGCCAATGACTGCAATACTGATAGCAACAATCATAAAATGATGCCACTGTTAGTAATGGGTAAGATCACACCTCTAGGCATAAAAAGCATCTGAGCCAAGGGTGGGCAAACTTTTTGACTCGAGGGCCACAATGGGTTCTTAAACTGGACCGGAGGGCCGGAACAAAAGCATGGATGGAGTGTTCGTGTGAACTAATATAAATTCAAAGTAAACATCATTACATAAAAGGGTATGGTCTTCTTTTTTTTTTAGTTTTATTCATTTCAAACGGGCCGGATCCGGCCCGAGGGCAGTAGTTTGCCCACGGCTGATCTTAGCCATAATCTTTTATGAAAATCTCTAAGGGCACAAATTTCCTCTTCACAAACCTCTCTGACTTGAAAAAAAGAAGGAGCAGCTGAGCAAACACACTCTTCTTTGTCACTCCATGTTTACTGTCGCTCCCCTCCCCGTCTTACCACTCAGCCCAAATGTGGTTAAAACCTTTGCCTCTTGCTCTCCTAAGCACACCCGGGAGGCCGGTCCTCTCCAAAAGGCCGCATGGCCCAGGTCAACCTAATGGGAGGTAAACAGGGGACACCTGCAAGCTCTGGAGCTGCCCTGCTTCCCAAGAACGGGCTCCTGGCCCCAGTATCCACTAGGCATGGCCCATGGTGAGCTCCTGCCAGGGGCAGCCTGCTGACTCTGTTCTCCTTTCCTGACCCTCCCCTGCTCTGCAAAGGTTGGAGGACAGCATCCCACACCTTTTAATAGAAATAAGGTGGTAGATGGTCCTGAACGCTCTCTTGGGGCAAATATTGCCGCCCTCCCATTTCTCCACCTGCCACTCAGCACAGAGCTGAATTCTCCACTCAGAAATTCTCTGGGGCAGCTTTTCTCCTGCTGTCAGGTCCAGGTTATTTCCTTGTTCACAGAGGGCTTGGCCCACTTGACCTTCCAGAAGTAGGGTCTTGCAGAGAGGATTTTGTTTAATAAGTACTGGCTGCTTGATTTAAATGATGTATTCCCCGGGAAAGGAGCAAGTCCCCACTGTAAGCACCTCTGCTAGGCACTATGCATCTTCTCTCTCAATAATTTTGTTTTTAAAGGCTTGGATTTTAACACATCTGTTGAAGCACCTGTTCCTCAGAGCTGTGTCCACAGCCACACCAGGTACAGTGCCCAGACTGACTGGGCCATAAGTGTCCCCCAGCACAGGGAAGTGAGGGCCCCATTCTCCCTAGAACAATGCCTCAGATGTGCTTCCCTAGACCAGCATGGGCATCAACTGGGAACCTGAGAGAAATGCAGATTCTCAGGCTCTGCCCAGACCTAAATCAAAACCCCAGGGGCAGGGCCTGGCAATCTAGGTTGAACCAGCCTTCTGGGCGATTCTGAGGCACACCTGAGTCTGAGGATCACAGATTTAGACAGATTTTATCACTATCCACACTCATAACTGCTGCTGATTTCCACTGCTACCATTTGGATCCTTCTGCTGAAAAATGGCTACGTCTGTTTGCTATCTTCTTCCCAGACCTATTTTAAACATCTAACACTAGTAGCAATTCTTTTAAAAACCTGTTTTCTAGAACACCAGCAAAGCGGAGCTGGTACTTCCCCACGTCTAACATCTCTACGTGTCAAAGGCATCCCAGGAATTGAAGGAACCTTGGAGAAGAAAGCATGGGAGAGGGCGTCACTCCTCAGGGAGAAGATTCTGGAATCACCCACCACCTCTCCGGCTTCCTGGTTCCTATGTGGGGCTTGAGAGGGACCCCAGTCCACTTCAGCTCACTTAGCTGGGGAGATAGGAGGTGTGCAGTGGCCACAAACCCAAAGAGGTGCTTAGCCACACATGGACGCTATGCCATGCAAGTCAAGTGGGTTCCCAGACAATCCTTATTACAGGATGATAAACCCCTGAGAACTGTCCAGGTGCTACTCACAGGTATGCCTCAGGGCTGTGGTCCTTCTGTTATTGCTGAATGTGACAAAATGTAAGAGATCCAGTGCACTCTTGGCATAGCTGCTGTTATCACCCATTATACCACCTAGCAAGGCTCCACAATTAGCTGGGCTTTCCTATTATTCTTTGTAATTCAACATTTCTTTTCACAGTGGGATTTTTTTTTCCTTTATCCTCTGAGTTGGAATGGAAAATATAGCTAATAATGAGAAAAAGCTTGGACCATGGGCACGTAAATAGCACACAGGAGTCTTGCTGCATACCTGGGTAAAGTGACTCCCAGATGCCCTTGGGGGGGGAGCAGCAGACCAGCTGTGTCCATGGCATGGCCCAAATGGGACGAGAGACCTGTGCACTCAGCGAGGAGTGCGAAGTACTGAGGCCTGGATCAGTAGCTGTGTGATTTGAGTTTCAAAGGACATTCTCGCTGCATACTTCTTACGTGCCGTATTATGGACGAAGCCAAGGCCCCTTTGAGTCTCCTCATTAAGTCCTGTTCTCACCTCTATTCCCAGCTGCAAGTAACCACTGACACCAGATTATAGATGTTGTTAAGGTATTCTATATACATGTGTACTCATAGAATATATAGCAATTTAAATATTTTCACATAAATAGGATCATTCTGTATAAATTATTCTATAACTAGAGGCCCAGTGCATGAGATTCATGCACTGGGTGGGGGGTGGCCCTCAGTCAGACATCCCTCTCGCAGTCCGGGGCTCTTACGGTCAGGAACCCCTCG